CGGCTGCAGGTGGGCAGCGGGGCCGGGCCGGATGGAGGGCGGCGGGTGCCGGTCCTGCCTCCCTCGGCGGGGCAGCGGCGGGAGGGAGGAAGGGAGGAGCGGCGCTCCGGGGCGCTCCGGGGCTCGCGGCCGCGCCGTGCCCGGTCACCGGGAGCCCTCGTGGAGCCGCGCGGGCCCCTCGAGCTGCCCGCGGAGGCTCCGTGCGCAGGGCAGAGGGCCTACGGGCTGCCAGCCTGGCCCCTATCCGCACATGGCCTCTGTGGCCTGGATGGGGCTGCTGCAGGGCACGAGTCGAGGATCTGCCTAACTCGGATCCTAACTCCTCAGGATCAGGGCCTTGGAAGCGGCACGACTGTGCMGAGCGCTCGTGCTTCACCTTCCCAGCAATTAGTTCTGGGCAGCATCCTTCCTACTGCGTCCTCTTCCTTCCCTTCCTCCCTCGGCTTGGCCATGGCAGCTCAGCCACGTTTCATTCCTGCTGGGCACTTATGTCCATGGAAGAGTTTTGGGGGRTATTTTTTGTTTGTTTTGTTTTTGTTTTGTTTTCTTTGAGGGCATCGGTTGCTTTCTTCAAGGTGAGGCTTATCTCCAGCTTCTCTGCTCATGTAATTTGGTTAAATGCGATCAGACTTGTCTGGCAGGACTTTATCAATCCCTACTGCTTTCTACACAAGGTTTCACAATTTCCTGGGATCTTTAATGACTTCTTTCTTTTAATGTGGTGCTTCTCTGCTGAAATAACAGGGCAATAAATGGAAGAAGCTCTTATTTTCCATTGTTTCTCTAAGGTTTTGTACCTTTGTGTGTCCCCACTTTTCTCTGCAGTTTCAGGAACCTGTTCAACTTGACTCACATATAGCATAGCCTGTTTCTATAGGCCCCAAGGTGCACTGAACTGCCTTGTGTTCACACATCAACTTGCAAGTTTGCAATGGCCACGAGCCTCCCTGTCTCTTGCATCCAGGGACTTCTGAGAGTGCTCTTAAATGTTCTGTGCTGCACACCGGAGAGGTGCACCTGAGAGGAGGGAGATCCTTGCAGCAGCTGCTTCTGCCTCTTGCAGCCGTGTTGCAGGCAAGGGGCAAAGGCCATATAGACTAACCCATCAGTATAGATGCTCTCTTGTATACACCACTTCTTTCCCTTACAGAAGACAACCAGGAATCCTGCGCATATGAACTAGGGAAAATCTCACCGTCTAGGCAAATTTAATGTATGTTGAGYGGTCAGGTTGGGAGGCAGCTCTATAGTGTTTAACATCACCCTCCAGCTCAGGTTATCGAAGGTGTCTTGATGACTCGAGAAACAGATTTTAATTACTTTCTTGGTCATTATGGACCTGTATTTTCTTTCATTCCATGGGGTCATCTACAAACTGCTGGCCCTTTCACCTTGCTGGAAGAACTCCCTGTGTTAAGATCTGATGGTCCAGGTTTGATGCTGAAGATGGATGAAGATCCTCAAAAGTTCCTTGAGGAACTGCTTCAGGATCAAATCACTCTCTGTCCCAAACTGAAGAGGTTGAATAGAGCACTGTGATCTTTGGGGGTCCTGGGCTCTTCTTTCTCTGTGTTTCTAACCTCCATGGAGAGGTCAGATGAGAAGACCACCTGTATACGGTTAACTCAGTGTGCAAAACAACATTTTAAAAGACCAGTGTTGTAACCTGCCTAGAAATGTTCGTTCGAGGGGAAATTTTGTTTTTGCTCAAGGTTTCTAGTTTTAAAATCCAGTATTAGTATATGTGTTATTTAGTATATATGATACTGGGGAAGCAGGAGAAAAATACAGAGAAGAAGCCTATGAAGCCAGGGTTCCTATTTGGTTGTGGGTAGGGTTTTCCTTGCTTCAGCATTAAGTTTATACAAGTTTGTGTCGTCTTGCTTTCCCCCCCCTCTAATTAATTAATTTCTTTAACTAAAGACRACCCTGAGCAGCTCCTGCTTGTACTGAGGCACCTTCCTGCAGTGGCAGACCTGCTTTCAAACCTGCCAGCACTGAGCTTTGATTTCCCAAAATTAGCCACAACTGGCTTTGTTGCCATTAGCTTAAGAGCAGCAGATGGTGCTGGTTTCTTCAACATAAGGCAAACACTGGTTTCCTATTTAAGTAATTTTTGGGATTTATTTATCTTTGTTGATCAATGATCAATGTTTTGATGATTCTTAAGAAGTTCAAATAGAAAACATTTCTTCTTGTTCTGGGCAAGAACTGGGCAGAGATGGGATGAAGGAGAGGAAGAAATTCAGCTGCATAGATATGGATTCCCAAGTCCTAGGCAAAAATGAAGCAATACTGCAGGAGATGGAGAAATGTAAAGGGCAGAGCCCTAATAATGGAGTCTCTGGTCATGTGTGGGCTTCTCCTACATTTCCTGCTGTTAAAAGTCTTGGCACTTAATTGTCATAAAAGGCACCTGAGTTGAAGAAACGTCTGTCTTACAGCTGCAGCTGTTCATGCACTTCACTTTAGGTAAGTGGATGCAATCTTCCATTAATGGCAGAAACATACACTGTCWAACATACTTAATATGGTAAAATCAAGGGGAAAATTTCAGCCCAGTAGAAGGAGGTCTTGGGGGTTCAGAGGGCTGATTTCTCACTCTTCTCCTTAATACTCCCCTACTGCTGCAGCCTCCAACTTCAATATGTTGCTTTGGCAGCAGCTCCCGCAGCTGATGCTGCAAGCGGTTGTGCTGCACACGGACGGGGATGATGCTGCCTGCTCCCTCTGGCATTGCTTGTGAGGGGGCTCCCACCTGTACGTGTCTCTTGCAGCAGCTCTGCCTCTGATGCCTCTGCTGTCAACAGATGCCTGCCTAGACCTGCAGGCCGGGGGCTGGAGAACTTAAGCCCTCCRTAACATGTGTTTTTTCATTAGCTTTCTTGAGGTCCCCATCTAGATGTTAGTGTTAACTGAAGAGTTGGGGGTTACTTTGTCTAAATTGACAGATTTTCACTTTATTGAGCATTTCTCTTGAAACTAGGGAAAAAAGATTCTTTTGCCTTAACAAACCTTTTATTTTCAGTGGCAGTGTTATTTCTTGCAGTATTCATCTGACTAGGCTCAGGACCAGGACTTGTAGGCCAAAGGAGGGAAGATAGTTCCGTCTGCTCGGCTCTTGGACCCATTTGTGATCTCTTATTGACTTGAACTTCACACCCTTGCTGAGGTGCAGAACATGGATTCATTTCTCACCAGGATCCAGGTCCTGTGCAGTGTGGTTTGGAGGCTTCTTGCAGGAGACCTGCAGCACAACTGTGGGTGTAGCAGCCAAGCTCCTGCTAACCAGAGGGCTGGGCTTGCAAATCTGGCTGCAGTGCAGCTTGTGGTACTGGCTGCACGTTTGACATGAAGAGAAGTGGGGAGGGAGAAGGTGCCTGAGCTTACTTTCATCTAGTCCACTCTAGCAGACTAGATCCATGGTTCTTTCCTTTGGAAGCTGCCTGTACTCTGCATCCGCTTGCATCTTTCTTGCCTTTTCAAGGCAAGGACCAAGCACTCCAGGGCAGGAGACTGGAAGTACGTCCTGGACCAAACTCAGCTCCACCAYATCCCTGCAGTCCCAACGGGGTAGAATTTGGGGTCATCCAACATCCATATGTAGTTGCTCCCATTGTAAGTTCTTCCCCAGCTCCTCCCTAACATGTCTGARCTGGGTCCTTGGGACACTGCTCTGTTTCTGGCTCTTCCCAAATAATTATCATGCAATTCACTTCCCAAAATAATGCAAGGTGTGGGTGAGGCGCGTTCGCTTTTAGTGATGTAAGAGCACCCCTTGCACAACAGAAACATAGGGTGTTGCACCAAACTGGATATGGGATGACGGTCACAAGAGTGACTCAGGGGCGTCAGGGTGCCGTGCACATTGCAGGTTGTCCTTGGGCCTCTTTCTGCAGCCAGCCTGTTTTCCCCTCTTGCAGTGATTCAGTGACCTGGCAGATGCTTTCTCTTCCCATCCCTTTGTCCTGAGTCCCCCCGTTCTCCCACAGCCAGCTCATCACTTGTGCAATGGGCTTAGYGGGGCAGCTTTCCTTGGGGGTGCCTGCTGTGCGCTCCCTGATATTACTGCCCTTCTCTGGGAGATCCTGTTGTGATATGGGCATCTCCTGTCCTCAGCTGCAGCTGAGCAAAGTGGCTTGCAAGCTGCCAGCCTTGCAAGAGCTAAAGCTGRTAAGTGTCTCTTGGCATCTCCTCTGGTCATAAAGACTCTGTAGGTCTTGCAAGGAGGTTGCACAGGCATCAAAGCTTTTGAGATAGTCAGCAATTCTGGCTATGGAGAAATAAAATCCAACTGTTCCAGGTCTGCAGGAGTAAATGGTGCTTGTGCAGTGAGTGCTGCAGTTTGTTCTGGAACCCAGCAGAACTCTTCCCTGGAGTGTTCTTAACTTCTCCAAGACCCTCCCCTGAAAACTTTGGGATTTCCCTGCACTGACTGACTCCAGACTCTTCTCTCCAAGCTCATGAGCTCCTGGCTTGCAGCTGCAACCCCATTTGTTGCTGCCCAACTATGTGACTGAGTGTTTCATGCTATATTAATAGTATGTTTCTCCGCTTGCAGTTATGAAGATGAAGGTGCTACTGTGTCCTGCTGCCCTTGTCTTCCTAATGGCTGCTTTCAGTCTAGAGGTGTGTCACGGTGCCAAGGTGCTGATCATGCCTACCATAGTCTTTGACAGCCACTTGCGAGTCTTCATGCGGGTGGCAGAGGCATTGACTGACCGGGGCCATGACCCTGTGCTGCTGCTTCATGAAGGCCGGGATGTAGACGCCGACCTGCTGGGCTTCCGCATACAGAGGTATCAGGGCATCTTCAGCATGGAGAGTGCGGATGCCTGGGTGCAGGAAAAGATAAAGCGTGTCTTCCAAGGGAAGATGACCTCTCTGGAGGTGTTCTCCTTTCTGGAGAAGTACCTGGAAAACTGTGACCTGGTTCTGGGAAACTCCACCCTTCTGCAGAAACTCCGTAATGAACATTTTGACCTGCTGTTGGTGGACCCCAATGAGATGTGTGGCTTTATCCTGGCCCACCTCCTCCATGTCAAATATGCRGTGATCTCCACTGGCTTCTGGTTCCCGGCAGAGATTGGTGCTGCTTCCCCCATTGCCTATGTCCCTGAGTTCAACTCCTTGATGACAGACAAGATGGGCTTCTTTGGCAGGACTTGGAATCTCCTGGTCTATACGATCACTCGTGTGGCCACAAAGCTGGTCATCCTGCCCAAATTTGAACGCCTCATGGAGAAGCACAAGGTGGAGCCCAAGATATCCATGTTGGACCTTGTCCATGGAACCAGCCTCTTCTTCCTCTGCAATGATGTGGTGCTGGACTTCCCCCGACCAACGCTTCCCCAYGTCATTTTCACAGGAGGGATCCTTGCTGAACCTGCAAAGCCCCTTCCAGTGGTAAGTGCAGCAAAGCTTTCAGCTGTGCTTGAGTACTTACCCCAAGATTTACTTGGTACAAACCTGCTACTGAAGAGTCTCATAAATGGCTTACGGAAACTCAGTACTGGCAGTGCTGCCCCCAGGATTGAGTCAGTAGTAGTTTGTTTGTTTCTGTATACTTGAGGAAATAGGAAGAATCTGTATTGCTTCATCAGAATTTAATCCAGAATTTCCTCCTAATCCTATTTCTTGTAGGACACTTCTGCCCTGAAGTTTATATAGTCTTGGCACAGGGGAGAGTGTCATGCTTGTTACATATGCACAGGGGAGAGTGTCATGCTTGTCTGTTACATATTCAAGTGTACAGCATTGAAAACTGTCCCATTTTCCCTATCTTTAAGTGGTGGCTCTGGCATTTGAGAGGTTTCCTCTGACTGATACCCCACTATCACTAGTAGTAAATTCAGAGGGCCAGGCTCCTAAACATTCCACTGGGCAGAGCTGGATCTGTTTGCTGCTCCTTCATTGCTCTCCCACTTTCACAAATACTGAGGGGAAATAAACAGAATAGTCAAGCTCAGGAAGTCAGACAGGGGGCTGAAATGGCAATAAGATGCAACTTTCAAATTATTAGAGATCTATTAAGTACTCTGGCAGCTCTAATGTGAACGCCCTTATTTGTGCGTGTGTGTATATATATATGTATATAAATATAAATTTAAAGGAAGAAATGAGACTAGATGCTTTAGCACAGAAGTTCTCCAGGTGTGTATAACTACTGACCACCCTTCTCCATGCAGAATGGTATGTGGGTAATATGGTGCCGCACCAAAAGCTGTATCGGAGAGTGGCTGCCCCAGGTCTTGCAAAATAGCGGCTTGGTCCCATCTGGCCATGTATGCACCTGCCTTTTAAAGAAGGGAGTTGTCTGCCATGACATTACTGCCAGGCTTCACAGCTTCCAGAGCTGAGCCCAGAGTGCCCACAGGATGCAGATAAGCCCTGAGCCCTCAATAGGCCATGGCCTACGTGCTGGCAGGTTGGCACGCCTGTGCCCAGGTTAAGGATGGCAAGGGCAAAGAGAGCTTATGTAGACCCAGTGTATCCTAAGAACTCTCCCATCTGAGCAGGAGTTGAGCTTATAATTAAGGTATTTATAGCCTCCTATTTGAAATGCAGAGGTGGAGTGTCCTTTTGATTAGGACCCTGGGGATTATAGAAACATATTTGAGAGGTGGAAAAGGTTTCCAGTAGCCAGCTGTTGCTTTCCTTAGCAACTTCCATGTTGTTTCTGAAAGTCAAATGTCAAGGCTTGATTATAATGGATAATGTTATTAACAGAGTCATCTTAGTTTTAGCTATCAGAACCAACCTGCTACTTTCTCTTTTTTAACAGTTTTAGCAGTTGTATTGCTCAAAAGAAAGTGTTAAAAGTCAAGAGAAAAGAAAAAAAAACAAAATCCTGAGCTGAAGGCCCACTGATTTTTGTGCAGGGTTGTTTTAGGGCTTTGTAAGCTTTTCTGCAAAGAAGTTTGCATCCCAGAAGCATCTAACAAAGGGCAGACATTCTCAGAGAACAACACTTAAATGCCTTTGAGATTCTTCTGCACTGTGCTGTAGACAACTAGTTATATTTTGGGTTAACCATCCTATTTTTCTCCTTTAACAACCAGATTTTTTTTTTTCATCCTCTCCCTTCATGTTAATGTGCCCTTTAGTTAAGCGTACAGATTAAAGAGACGAATGTTAAGCAAATTCCCTAACATGCTCCTGATTGTGAGAAAACTCAATATGGGAAACTCAAAGCAGGAAAGAATCCATAATGAGATTGGCCCAGTCTACCCTGGCATGGAAGGGAGCGCTCTGTGCTAGTTCCATAGCAGACATACTGGTTGATTTCTTCTTTCTTGTGGCCAGAGGAACAGAGGACCCTCCTAGATACACACCTGTTAAGTACTATCAGAGAGAACCTCAGAACAAAGTATCACCAACTGTGGTTTCTCACCGAGTTGTAGTTGCCTCTCTGCCTAACAAATGAGGATTAAATCTGCTACCTGAAAGCAGCAGTCTAGGAGAGGTAGAAGTGTGCTGGAAAGATGGCATCCTTCTGCCACCTCCAGCAGCTTTGAAACTCAGGGTGCTTGTAGGGGATATCAAGCAAGATGTTGTTCCTGACACTGCTTTTTAACTGACATTTAAGCTGTTATATGAGCCCACAGCCAGCGACCCTGGCAGACCTCCTCTCTTGTAGCAGTGTTGGAAGGCAGCCTTGGTTTCCTCACTTTCCTCCAGTTTTGCCTGCTGCTCCTAAGTGGGCCCCAGCCTGTGTTTTCAGAGCCCTCCTTGCCAAAGAGTAATTGTGTTACCTTTTGCAAGGCGTCCAAAGGAKCAGCAAAATTAGTTGTTAGACGCCTCCCTGCAAAGCGCCCGAGCCCTGCAGGTATTGAGCAATTTTTGCCAAGCTGGGTGCAGAAATTGCAGCAGTTCTAGTGTTTGTTGCCTGGTCAAAAAGACACCGCTTTGTGCTCTGGGTGGATTTGGCTTCAGCCTTTTCATAGAGCATTTTCTACTGGCACAGACAACAGTGAGAAGATCCTTTCTCCAAGAAGGCTACAAGGCGTCTGCCTGTGTTTTGTCTGCAGGGTCTGCGTCTCTGGGTGGAGGCCGCAGATGCAGGTGTCRTTGTGGTCTCCTTTGGCATTGGGATCCGAGCTCTCCCGAGCGATTTGGTGGAGAAGATGGCCGGCGCGTTCGCTCGCCTCCCGCAGAGGGTCGTGTGGAGGTGAGGGCAAAGTGGGATCCCACTTAACTCAAGCTGATGRAAATCACTACTGAGGGCTGATTCCAGCCCAAAACTCATGTTTGTTTTCTAGCTCTTGTTCTAGCTGAATTTATAATTGGTGCATTGGCATGTGTGTGTGTGTGTGTATGCATGTATTTTGCTTTCCTTTTTTAACCTCTTCCTGCAGATACTTTGGAGAGAAGCCTAACAACCTGGGTGAGAATACACTGATGATGGAGTGGCTGCCCCAGAACAACCTGCTAGGTAAGATGGGAAATGTGTGTGTACGGCTAGGGACATTCCTAGAGTTTAGTCCAAACCACAGCAAAGACGTACAAGGAAAATGGCACCCTTGTGGGTCTAAGTCTATCGAATTCTGCGTCTCATCTGTAAATAATATGGTCCTTACCTAATGCTTGCTTGAAGCTGTATCTTGGCCTCAKCTCTCTCCTTCAGGCTCTACTCATCCAGGCTTTTGACTGCCAAAAGCAGGATATGTTCCCAAAGATAACGATGGTTCATCCTGTCAGTGCAGCACATCTGTGTATTCATAAACACAAATCAATCCTGTGTGTACTGATATGCACTGACTTGCTTCTGTTTTTCCTCACAGGCCACCCCAATGTAAAAGCCTTTGTCAGCCACTGTGGGATGAACGGCATTTTCGAGGCGATTTACCACGGTGTTCCAGTGGTGGGATTTCCTTTCTATGGGGACCAGTTTGACATCATGACCAGGGTGCAGGCGAAGGGCATGGGTATCCTCATGGACTGGAGCAGAGTAAGAGAAGAGGAACTTTATCAGGCGATAGTCACCGTTATCTCTGACCCCAGGTGAGGCACTCAGAAGCAGCGAGCTCTGCCATGGCAAAGGTGTAAGAACCAAAGTGTCTTGGTGTTGTCTCTTACACAGCCAACAGTGGCTTCTGGGTCCGATAGTGTTGCAAACACTGTTCAGAGGCCAGACATGTTAGCACCTTGTAATCCTGAGATGCTTGCGTGAAGAGATTCTAGCACCTGCTGTGAGAATGTGTTCTAGTCTTATTTGGCTCTGACTAAACTTTCTAAGAAAGCTTTGAGATGCTGATGCATAAACCTCTTCCCCTTTTAATGCCAGTCTGTGATCGGGTAAAGTGAGATCATGTCCTCACCATTTCATCTCTTTTCTTGTCCAAACAACATTTTGCAGAAGCAGCGCAGACAGTGGATTGCAGATAATGCTCTAGTTGTTTCTTTTTAAACCARATTCTTTACTCTTTCCTACGTTTGTTACAGCACAGTGACACAGGGCACCCATTGTCTAATAGAGAACATGCAACTGCTAGTTCCTGAAAAGCTGTYTAAGAGATGGATTTTTGTTACCTGTTAGGATCTCTCAGCTACTGACTGGAGTATAAATTGTTGCCTTCAGTAGCTTGAAGGATTAGACAAGTCATCARAAGTGTGACTGTTTGATGGTGGTAAGGTCTTCTAGTGCAAGCTCAGAAAACCACAATCCACATGAATCCACTGAGCTTCTGTGGCCATCTTACCTAGAGACTTGGGATCTAACAAAACACAAAGTAAAATGCAGCCTGGCTTGGGCTTCCACAGCTAGTGATTACCTTCAGAGTGGTTTTTGGAGGTGGCTGTGAAGACAATTCTAGAAGAAATTTGCTACTCCTCCAAGGTATCATTTGGAACTTGAAAGCACCAGTGGATTTAACATCACTTCTCACTTACAAAGCTGTTGTCACAAGGATAACTTTTTGTCCTTTTCTCCCTTACAGCTACAGAAAAGCAGCCAAGCACATTTCAGCTCTGCACCTTGACACACCAATGCACGCTCTTAATAGGACGGTGTACTGGCTGGAGTACCTCCTTCGTCATGATGGGGCACCATATCTTCGCCCTGCTGTCTATGACCTGTCCTTTCATGAGTACTTCTGCCTGGACATCTTGGCTCTCTTCTTATTGTGTCTGGCTGTTGTTGGCTTCATCCTCTACAAAGCTGTGGCATGGTACAGAAGGAAGAAGGCCAGCCCTGTGTATCAGAATGGCAATTGCATGAAAGGGCACCTCACAGAACAGAAGAAATTGCAATAGTGGCTCGGCATGTTCTAGGGCATGTTTCTTTGCTGTGAAATGAACTTGTGCAGTGCCCAGAAATGTATGGCATGCAGTGATGAGCAGGTCTGGATGCTGCCCTCCTGGCTGAGGGGAGAGTGGGGAGGAAGGAGCATTGCGAAGGCCTGTGTGCACACCTCTGTGTACAGCACCTGTGGGCGGGGACGCGGATTCAGGCATGGGTGGAAATACTTGGCCAAGACTCTGGGAATGGGGCACGGGTAGGTAGACTTCAGGGAGGAGTACAATTTGTTCCCTTTATATTGCACATTGGTTTGGATGCTGGTGTTATTCTTCTGGCTTTTTGGATCTTCGTGGAGGCGCTGGAGGTGGGAATGGTATCTTGTGATTGGTAGGTACTGTTTCTTCTCTGCCTCATTACTACATTGCCCCAAGAGCTGGGATTCCTTTACATGCTGGTGAGGACCTGAGGTATAGCAGTGGCTGGGGAAGGGCAACGAAAGTATCATAAGAAAGAGAATGAAATTGGTCTGTTTTAAGTTTTATGGATGATTATTCTTCCTGCTTCCATCAACCCTCTGCAAACTTGTTTGTGTTTGAGCTAAATTATTATTATTTTTTTAATAAAGTTATACTCCTTCTCCTGTGTCGCTGTTCTCTGGTCTCAGTTTAAAGGGAGTCTTTGTTCCTTGTGACAGGATGTTGCTCAGAGCAAGATTAGAGTTCTCTCCCTTCTTGTTGCTGCTACAACTGTCTCTGCATGCCCATGGACCAATGCAAACCTCTGCCAGTGACTTATCTTGATCTTTCCACAGAGTTTKGGGGGATGCCCTCCCTCCTCTGCCTGTGTGATACCCATGCCCATGGAGTCTCCAAAGCTATGATAAAAKACTAGTTTGACATAGCTACAAATGTCAGAACCACAGGAAGAACAGTCAGCAGCTTGGAGCGATGGCCTTACAAACTCTGATCTTAAAGAAAACTTCTGTACCCTTTGAGCATGAGCAGGCATGCTATTGCCCCCCTCCCGCCTTGGAGACATTATATGGCATGATGCCCGCGTTTTCCTACTCACCTTAGGCTCCAAGGCAAACCCACGCTTTGCTGCTCTTACACAACCCACCTGCAGCGCAGGCTGGTGATCCAGGTGGTGAAGCTGAGGGCTGGGTTCACTGCTGCGATGTCAGCTGGGGCTCTTTTCACATTGTCTTTCACTGGAGAGTAACCTCATTCTTGGGGTTTCTAGGCTCTGCTCTCACTTGTGGGTTTTTTTTTTTTTTTTTTAATATATGTTTTTCATTGCAGATGAAAGGTGCATTGCCACCTGCAGCCTGGTGAGCAGCGTTTGGCTGGGCTGCTGGGATGCTCTGGCTGGAGGCAGTTATCAGCTCCTGCATAGCATGGTTACCCTGCCCTCCTTCCTTCACAGCAGCCCTCAGCCTGCAGAGAGGCAAAGGTTTGGGACCAGACCAGTTTGCTGTCTAGGATGGATGAGACCAGTCTGCAGGTTTAAACTTGGACCTGTAACTATCCTGTGGCCTAAGTTGTTGTTCTTAGAGTTACTGCTGCCTCCTGAGACGCTAAGCCTTGTTGTTGTCAGTGGTGAGCTAGGCACCCCCTCAGCCTTGCTCTGCAGCAGCATTATGGGCCCTCATGCTTTCTGCTTTGAGGGTGTCAGCCCACTCTCAGTGAACAAAAAGGGAAGATCAAGGTGAGGTAAGCTGCTGACATATGGTCTGTGGCAGGAAAAAGACGGCTTTAGATAGGTGGTAGAAATGCTGGCTAAATGGTGCCTTTCTGTCTACAGCTTGACTTTTAAAAGAATAATGCAGGGAGGGGAAACAAGACACTAGCTCAAGGTTTTGCAGCGTAACCACCTGGTTGTGCTGCACCATGGTGACTTTGAGGGACATCTTTACTGACACTTATGTGAGAATTTGGTTATTTAGACTAGGCTGAATATAATAAACAGGGAGGTTTGTGACTTGGTGACAGAGCTGGATTCCTTTGAGCATAAGGAGAGAAAAGGAGAGCAATGGGGCAAATGCTCCATTTGCAAGCTGGTGGTGTGGCTGGGTGCCTCATCCCCCCACCCAGGCAGTAGGGCAAGACATGGTGCAGGTGAGAGGATGACTTGGCTTGGCAGTGGTCCACAATTTTCAGGGACAACTTGGATGCATTAAATATGAGGACTTCTCTAAGCTTCTCATCTTTATTTCTATCTTGTTTATTTTGTCCCTGTTCCTATTAAAAGTATAGCTTTCTCTCACATTGCTTTTTTTGTTGTTGTTTATTCTTTCAATATTGAATACAGAGGGAAAGTAGAGCAAGGCTAGAGTTAGTTATTAAGTTAAATTATTAATAATGAGTAGCCTGTCRTATCTCAGGCAGCTCTACTTTTGAGATTGTAGCTGGTCTGTGGGCGCGATGCTGTCTGGTTACCTCACGCACACCCTTGTCAGAGACACTGATACTGCTGTGTAGCTAATAAAATTAAAATTGTGGTATGTGAGGCAACAAGAGTGTTTGCAAGGAAAAGCAGATTGTGACTTTACCCTTTTCTGGGGGCTGAAGAAGCTGTGAGCAASCTCGGCGAGGAGCAGCAAGCCCTGTGGAGGCCTGCGCAGCACAAGGCTGCTCTCCATCCTTCTCCTGGCAAGGAGCAGGGCAGCCGGGATGTGGTGCTGAAACGCCAGCCCTTTCGCCAAAGGGCACAAATCCCTTGCAAGGTCTTGGGCATTTTGGGGGCTGGAGGCACTAGGGGAGCAGTGAACTCTTCAAGTCTTCTCCTCGAGAGGCTCCTCGGAGCCTGAGGCACGAGGGCCTCCCCTCGCGAGGGAGCAGCGCGGCCCTGGCGCTCTGAGGCAGGGCGAGAGCGAGGCGCCCTGGAGGCCCTGGGCTGTGCGGCGCCAGCCCCCAGCTCCTCGGTGCTGCCTCTGCTCCCTCCATCTCCTCCCTCGCTGCTGAGGCGAGGGCGGGAAGCTGTGTGCCCGCCATATTCCTCTCACGACCTCTCTCTCAGCCCATGTGGAGGGCCAGACGCACTGGCGAATGCAGCGGCTCTCTTGGTGTGGTTTTCAAGCAACTACTAAGCTGCTGCTCCCTGCCCAGAGCCTCACGGATCTCCCTTCAGCATCCCCACGGCAGAGCCTGTTCTTTGGCCCCCGGCAGGGCGACGTCAGCTCCCTGGCTTGTTTTTCCAGCCYGGGAAGGTGGCAGCACCAAACTGTGTCAAGGAAATTGGCTAATGCTGAGGAGTTGCCTCCCTCTCCAGGCGAGCATGATATAGCTGGAGCTCTGCAAGGAGAAAAGCGGATGAAGGATGGGCACCTTCAAGACTTGAGCTCTGTGACTTATCCCACCATTAAACACCAGTGAGCAAAGAGCACTGGATTAAGGAGATTTCTTTCACCTCTGCACCAGGAAATTCTTCTCTAGAGCTGAGGCAGTTACTTATCCCGGGTCAGTCCCAGCCTGGATCCCCATGTCTCTGTAGTCATGGGGGTGAGGTGGGAACTGAAGCCAGGGTCTGGGGCAGCGCTGCCCCTGCCACAGCTGCTACAACACCTCGGGCCCCTGCTCTGCCTCCTGTGCTGTCCACGCGCCTCTTCTGAGGGTRTGGGCAGGATCTTCCTCCACTGCAAACATTCATAAGCATCTCATCTGCTACAAGAAGCTCTCCTGTGACCCCAYGAGGCTTTCTTAGCTCTGGGAGTGGGAGCATTCCTCTCCTCAGTCCCTGCAGGAGACTCCTGGGGAAGTCACTAAGATTGGTGTTCTTGATAGGCCCCTTTGGTTGTCCAAGACAAGCATAGATAGGGGATCAACTTTCAATTTTTCCCTCTATCTCTGATGTGCAGCCATGTGCCAGCTACRTTTTCGTCACTCCTGGCTTGTGGTTGGTGGCACTGGGTGAACTGTCACCTCTCACCCTGAGACAGGCCAGGCATTGGAGCCTCCCTCCTGGTGAGCTTCGGGGCCTGGCTGACACTCAGTTAAGGCAACGTGGGCTAAGGGTCAGCTCAGCTCACATTTGCCTTCATCACGAGGGCCATGGGCTCAGCCCTGGGGGAACACTGTGTCACAGTGTGTTCCCATACTTGCTGTGTCTGCAAAGTGGTTTTGCAGGTTCAGCTGCCTAAGTTATATCCAAAATTTGGCCTCTAGGTGCTGCTAGGGAGCTTCATCACATTGTATTTAATGCAGTAGATTATTTCTGTCGAACACTGAGCAAGCTCACATCTTTCTCAGCAAGGTGCAACCTAGTGGGAAAGCAGGGAGGCTGCCCAACCTGCAGGCACCCACTGTCCTGGGGTGCACACACTGCTAGCAGCACCCCTGTCCTGACCAGCAAGTGCAAGGTTGGCACCTGGGTGCACAGGTGCTGCCGGGACAGGGGAAATGCTGGAAAGAACTTCTTTAAATCACCCTTTGCTTGAGGCCCTCAGTCCTTATCCCAGGACACCCCCAGGCCTGGGCAGGGATGCTGCTTACCCTGGGCACCCTAGCTAGGGCAGTGTCACTGTGCAGCAAGGCTCCCTCAGATCCTGGAGGCTCCCCAAGCACGTGAACCCATGTGGGTATGACTGACCATGCCCACAGCCACAACTGGTGTGACTTTGAGCAGGGCGTCTAGCAGAAATCTGATGCAAGTCACCTGTGTTGTTTTTGCTGCTGTTTATGCCTTGCGCTTGAGCAGTAAAGCAGCTCTAGCATCACCTGCCTCTCCTGTTCGCTGCCCAGAGAGATGCTGTGAGTAGGACAGTGCCCATAAATCCCTGTTCTAGTGTCTCCTGGTGGGAGCCCAGCAGTGCAGAAACTTGCTCTTCCCAAGCAGTTGTGGGGCCTCATGGCGCCAGTGCAAGAGAGAAACGTGAAGCACCAGTGGAGTAAAGTGCTCAGTGCCTTAAGACTTAAGAAATAGTTGAGGTGTGGGTTGTAAGTTACAAAATTAATTGGTTTTGTTTTGTTATTAATTTAACCTTTAGACTTGAGGATTTCTTCCCTGGAACTTACCTGTAATGGATGAACTTGCAGATGTCTGCGAGCACAGAGCCAAGCTTCTAGAAATATCACCCAGCAAAGCGTGATGCTCCTCTTCCTTCAGCATTTGAAATACTGTTTCTTTATTCTGGCACTATATTGCTTTGACTGTATTAACAACTATAGTCTCTTTTCTGCTCCTTTTTTTTTTTTTTTTTTTTTTTTGATTCTCTAATTGAATGCCCACAGGGTTTAATGTTCTATTTTGCAACATGTGACAGTGGCACATGTGGCATCACAGTCAGTGACAGTGCCCTGATATGGGCAATCTAGTAAGATAACCTTCGGTTATGGCCACCTGTCAGCTTTCCATCCTGTTCAATAGTTTAAAAGAAGAAAAAATAATCCAAGGGAAAAAAAAGGTTTTTTTTTATAAATAACTTTTTGGCTTTTTTTTTTTTTTTTCAATATGGTGAAACTTAAAGTCCAAAATTCAGGTTCTGGAAGAAGGTAATGTCCTTTCCCCTCTTTCCACCAACAGTTTTGTGCTTCCGTTCCCTATTGCTTCCACCAAGCTACACTGTTTATTCAGCTTTAGATGTATTTGAAAGCACAAAAAGAAGTGTAACAACTTAAGTCAGTAGAAAATGCTAGATTTTAAAGATTTTTCTAGAGAAAAATTTTCTAGAGAAATTTTCTAGAATCCTGAAGGATTATGTATRTAATAGAAAAAAATAAACATGATGGTGCCTTTGCATTAATTAATAAGAAATTTATAGCTTAGACTGATACACGTTTTCAGATCTATTGATCTGACTCTACCAGTGAATCATTCCACTGCGACTCTCCAGGAAAAGGCACCTGCCCTTCAATCTGTACAGCAAACTGAGAGAAAGCAGTTGGAACAGTTAGAATGCCCTTAATGCCCACTGGAGATGATCCTTAACCAGCAGATCTGATGCTGAACTAATGTGCAAAACCACAGCTTTCATCCAGCAGTTTAAAGGAGACAATAAAGAACATAGCTGTGCTTCCATGGGYGAGAGGCAGGTGCTGGGGCACCCTTTTGAACATCATCTTCCCACCGTTGCTTGGGTGGGATCTCTTCTTCTCTGGGGCTCCCCTGAAGACACGCTGGCATAGTGTATACTGTGGTGGGAGTAGTAGTGGATATTATAGTGCAGGGAGATGCCTTCTGGAGAAGGGCAACAGTATGTTTGTCCCATGGAAAGCACATGTAGATGGGGTCCCAGCAGTGTCTGTAGCAGCCCTAGATAAAGCGTGGAAGGGAACGTGAGGAGGCAAACTTTTGCCTGTGTTTCATCGCTTGATTTTTGAAGTCTTGTCTTTTCTTCCTATGAGGCAGAAATGCCATGGAGAAGTTCACCTACTTACCTGTTTCCCTCTCTAGACATGCCCTTTGGTTTATGTGCATGTACACTTATGTAAAAGTGCCTTGCATCACTGGATGATTATCCCACATTGCGCTTGCCTCAGGGTAACACCATCCAGATGCCACCTATGAAGAGGTTAAGCTGATTATTGTGAACCCTCAKGAACACTCCCACCCTGGTGGGCACACAGACCCATTCCTAATGGTTTTGTCTACATCTAAGCTATTTTTCAGTGTTATTTTTCTCAGACCCAGTGAAAGTGATGCAGAGGCCATAGGCAGCTGGGGAAGAGGGTGCTCTCCACCTCRTGACAGCCTTTGCTCCCTCTGTCCTTATGCAGGAGCCCCGCATCCAACTCAAAGCCACAGTGGGGAAAACAAGCTGTGCAAAGCCTTCCCCTCCACCCCTGTGCTGCTCTCTTCACCACTAGCAGGGAGAGCCCGGGGGTCTGTAGCATCTTTCATCCAAGATCCCAACCATGCCAGGGGAGGTCTTCCTCTGCAAACGGGACAAAAATATGTCTGGCTTGAGTTTTAGAGGCTGCAGCACTGCTTAGCCCAGGGCAGCCGAGCGCAGYGTGGGGGCCGGAGCCCAGGGCTGTGCGGGGTGGGAGGCAGAACCCCRCAACACTTGCACCCCTGAACCCAATGCCCGTGGCGTTGCCCGCGTGCGCAGGCGGGTGGTGGGCCGGGCGGCCCGCGATTGGCTGCAGCCCGGGAGTTTATCCGCGGCGCGGGAGCACGACAGCTCCCGGCCACGGCGGCAGCAGCAGCAGCAGCAGCAGCAGCAGCAGCAGCAGCAGCAGCAGCAGCAGCAGCAGCATGGTGCTCAGCTTCATCCTCTCGGCGCTGCTGCCGCTGCGGCCCTGGGACTTTGAGCGGCGCTTCGACGAGCGCGGCGCAATGCGGTGGATGCAGGACAACTGGTGAGCCCCTGGCTGGGCTGCCGTCCCCGAGGGGCGCCTGGGAGAGCCGGGATGGGGTAGGACGGCTTTGGGAATGCAGTGAGGAGGGTGCACCGCATTTAGCGGCTGTRCAAGCACCGCAGGCTGCAGGCAGAGCCGTCCCTTGCTAGATGTGGCACAGCTAGATGAGGTCCAGCTGTGGTCCTCACTGCCAGCGGTGCCRGCGAAAGCAGATACCAGGAAAGAACGAAGCTGCTGGGAAGGGATGGGTGCTGGAGCAAGAGCACATGCTCTGATCTGCTTCGAAGGGGCTCAAGCTATAGTCGGAAAATGAACTACCTTGTTATCTTAAGCTGCTATGATTAGTTTCAGTCTGGTTTACCCAAAACCTACCACAAGCTGGTGCTGACCAGTTTCACATGCAGCTGGCCTGACTGGTGGAGCTTGTGGCGCACAAATAGCCCCAGTCACTTGAGCTCAGGAAGAGTTATTCAGTGTAAAGCAGTTCCTGCTGTTTCAAATGAGATGTTAGACAGCAGCCTCCTGTCCATACGTTGAACTTTATTTAAACTGTATCTCCACATGTTCCCTTGGAGAATTTCTTGCTTTACCCCTTCAAACACACACATTCACACAGAAACCAGCTGAACAGTAAATGAGCATGCAAGGCTCCCAAGCTGTCTTACTCCTTAAGTTTCTCTGCCTTTTGAAATGGATGGGGCAGATCTGTCTTTTTTCTTTCTTTCTTTTTTTTTTTTTTTTTTTTCCTCATAGCTAACCAGTCTTTTTGCTCTCAAAGTTATATCTTTATGTACAAAGATACCTGCTTCTTCAGTATTTCCCTCTCACTGTAGGAGAAACGCTAACAAGCCCTCCTTTAACTTATACTTTATGAGCCTGTTTACTTTACAACCAATTTGCTGCTGACTTGGAGCTAAGGGTTGACTTGTTTGCTTATGTTAAGTAAAAATATTTACAGTTACTCACGATATTACCAGTGTAGATATCAGTGGTTTAAATATGAATCTGAAGCTGATCAGATTCTGCCTTTCYCTGGCAGGTGAGAACCTTCATGATGTAACAGCTCACTTCATTTTCTTCTGCATTCCCCAGGATTTTGACTCTACAGCTCAGTTATCGTTATGGCAGACTTCTCATGAGCAAGCCCAGCCTTAATAAGGGGAAGGGAGGCCTTCTCTTTCTTGGTGAGGAAGAGCTCGGCTGGGGTTACAGGAGTCCTCCTGGGACTGAGAGGGAAATCTAGTGGTTCCCTTGATCCGCTGCCCAGTGCTGGTTTATCTGAGAGCTCCCGTCTTGTCCTTCGTTTGCAGGCAAAAGGCTTTCTCAATTTCTATAGCTTATTTGATACTGATCTTTGGAATCCAGCATATCATGAAGGAACGGACAGGCTACAAGTTGCGAACACCACTGGTTGTGTGGTCCCTCGGTCTGGCCTTGTTCAGGTAAGAGCCTTTGCAGACGCTGGAGGCAGCTGCAGACTTTCCTTGAAGAGCTGGTTGATGAGCTTAGGGTATCCACCATATCCTTAGGGAAATCAACGTTCTTTTCCTTTGGAGGCCCTATCCCATAATCATCAGTGAGAGCAGAGGTAGCTGGCTTCCCACCAGAAGCACTCCAGCAGGTGGAGTGAGTTGCAGATGATCTGCTGCCTGGGGAGGTTAGAAGGGGGGTAGGAGCTAGAGGTGCTGATAAGGCTCTTTCCCAGCAAGCTGGAGACTGAAACATGGCCCTTCCAAGAGAAAGAGATGGTGGCCAGTTTAAGACAGAGAAGCAGTGATAGTCAATGTCTTGTTTAGATGTTCCTGAGACTGTCCAGGGCATGGAGATAACATTTGTGGGTGGAGTGCTGTCAGGGGATGCTGTGGGCCCTGGGCTTGGTGAGTTGCTCACAGCTTTCAGCTCTCCTCTGGTTTTCTTGCAGTGCCATTGGGGCCCATCGGACCTGGAAGTATATAGCCTTCGTCATCTCTACAGAGGGATTTAGGGGACTGGTGTGTGATCAGACCTTCTATGTTCACCACATTGCCAAGCTTTGGGCCTATSTCTTTGTGATGAGCAAAGTCTTAGAACTGGGTGAGTCTCAAACTTCTCCTTATCCAATGTGTTGATAATTCCTTTGCCCTTCCAAACTCTTCCTAAACATCTCTGTCCAAGTGTTACTCCCAAAATGGAGCTATCTAGTTTAGCATGTGCTGTTTGTTTTCTTTTTGACCTGTTGCTCAATTGTTCTTTCTCCATGGGGCTACAGCCTGACGTTATTGCTCTAGTTTGATATCCAGCCCAGAGTCTGGAACAGACAATTCTGCAGTGAGCAAATTGTGGTGAGGTGGCCTTCTTACCTGCGAGAATTTTCTTTCTTGGAGTAGAAACTTTGGGGGAATTTGGAGTAGAAATTTTTTGGGAAAATRTCTAGTTCATTAGAAACAACAGTGTTGCAGCTATGCACAGGATTTGAATAAGTCAGTGGAAAGTTTTTCCTGGAAACCATTCCAATATTGTCTGATGTCTAGTGTTCTTGCAGCAGGGACTACTCTGGAGTCAAGACTAGTTCCTTGAAGCAGAGCAGGGATTTRAGAGCTGTAATCGGATTGTTGGCTCTTACAAATTGGCATTTGAGGTCACTACTGATGAAATTGTTCTGTTCCATTACATACTGACTTGGCAGCCTGGGAGAGCAATGTTTATTGATATTAACCCATCTTCTACCCCTAACTGAGTACTTGAGCAACTGTAAATGCACAACAGGAATATCCACAAGCAAAACTTTTTTCTACTCAGTTTCTATTTAACTTAAGTACAGTAGAGCTGGTCTGAACTGCCATGTGGATAGAGCAATATAAGCTGCTGGGGAAGGGACACTCCACTGGATGTGTGTTTGTGCAGGTTTTATCAGTGCAGACAAATCTAACATGAGCCTAGCTTTTGGTGAGATCAACCCAAAGCCAAATCAAGCCAAGTAATGGCTTTAACATTCCTACTCAGTCTTTCTGCCTTGCTCAAAAGTGTGACTGCTGTGCTTCTATCCGAGTAACAATGCCTCTCTTTCCCAAGGTGACACCGCGTTCATTGTTCTCCGGAAGAAGACGCTCATCTTCCTCCACTGGTACCACCATGTTACTACGCTCATCTACAGCTGGCTTGCCTATAAGCAACTAGCACCGGGTGGGGGCTTGTTGTGTGCCATGAACTTCGCTGTCCATACTTTCATGTACTCCTATTATGCCATGCGAGCGGCAGGCCTTTGGGTGCCCCGCTACATTGCCATGGCAATCACCCTTTCACAGATCCTGCAGATGCTGCTGGCTGTGGTAGTGAACATCTTGGTTTTCCTCTGGATGGAGCAGGAGGTCTTCCAAACCTGCTGGTCAGGTGTTTTATTTGCATTGTTGATGTACTTCAGTTACCTGGTGCTCTTTTGCAACTTCTTCTACAAGACTTACCTGACAACTGCCAAGAAATCAAAGGGGGAATAAAACTGGGGAGACAGAGGGTGGCTGGGGTGATGGGAGGGGAGTGGAAAGCAGAAATTTTTCATTCCTGTATGAAACTTAGTGCTTGATGGGTCTGCCGTGGTGATGTTTAGGAGGAAGTCACTCTCTGGATGAATGTCTTCAGGTGAATTTGTGCATTGACCTCTGGTGAGTCTGCCTTGAAACAGGTGAATTGCCAGAGTGAGGTGCAAATTGTCTTGGGTTGATGGTGTGAAGAAAAGGAGRAAGTAGAGGGCTGGTTCTCAAAACTATGATTCTGGTTTTTTTTAATGCTGCTTCCCTTTTCCATGTACCAGTCAAGTTTGCAGTGTACATGGCAATCCTTAGTGACTGCTTGGATCCTGCACGGCCCAAATTTCTTTTTGGGAAAAGGTGGGGAACTCCCTCAACAACACTACAAGTGTGAGCTGCACCAAAGCAATACCCTGAGCGTGCACCTCACTTGAGCTGAAGTAAATGTTCAACCAGGTGGCACCAGTTTACACTTTACCTCCTGGGCTGCTGATACAGATGGGAGCTTCAAGCCAGCGGGCTCATCCAGCAAGGAGCATCAGAGCTTGGCCCTGGGTCTCCTTTCATCTTTCTTGCCTGCCCTGGCTGCTGCAGCAGAACCTTTACTTACCTCCAATGCAAGGGCTCGGTGGCACAGTGAGCCTTGTTCGGAATTAGGTACATTTTAATGGCTGTCATCTTGGCTCTGTCATTCATATGGTATTAAACATTGCGTTTAACTTGACRTAGACCTCAAGAGTTGAGCAGAGTCCAAGTCTGCCTTATTTGCAGAGCATCTACAGCATTGCCTACAGTCATGGCCAGGGGAGAGCCCTGAGGGGTAGAAGGGCTGGGGTCTGTGCAACAGTTTAGCTACAGCCACAGCAGCTGGGCTCTGAAATACAGCGGTTCCAGAGCCAGGCCAAAAGAGACCTGTCATTGTGTGGCATCTAAAAATGATTAATAAATAYGGTCCGGCATGGATGGCTTTCCCTATTTGCTGCTTTGCAGTTTTCTGGGGATATGGGGAGGAGGGGATTATTCCAACTTTTTTATTCCAGTTTATTTTTTTTTATTCCACCTGTAAAAGGAAAGCTCAAGCAGGAAAGCTTATCCTCACAGCTGTTGGTAGCAATAGGCTACTGATTACCCAGGATAGCCAGAAAAAAAGGCTTACAGTTACAAAAAGACCAGTGCATTAGGGAAAAAAAAAATCTTAGGTGCTAGAGCAGGAGTCTGGGTTTTAACAGTGATATCAGGACTCCACATAGCCCCAGGATAGTTGAACTCTGGCTGGGAATCTCTGAATATGCCAAGCTGCTCCTAAGGATAATGTGGACTCTCTCGCCCTCAGTGTGTGAGGGGACTAGTTAGGCCCATCTCCCTGGGGAGGGATGTAGTTGTTTGAGTGCTAGTCAAACTCCTGCTGCGCTGGAGGCGATTAGGGAACATGTCCCAACCTCAGCCTTTCCCATGCCTGAGTGTGCAGGTGCTCAAGGCAGCAGTGAAGAGAAAAATTAGGACCATCCCTTGCAGGCATCTACCACATCTAGTTCACAGCCAGTCTTCATTTTGAGGCTGTCTGGAGAAACCATGGTAAAAACTGGCATGCACCAAGCAAGAGATGTCAGGAAACAATTCCCCACTATGTTAACAGCAAGAGGCTAACCAAGGACATTGTTGTGCTGCTTTTCAACAGGGAAACCAGTGATGGCAGCCGCAGAGAAGATACAACTGTTCAGTGYATTTTCCACTAGCCTTCAGAGAAAGACAGCTATGAGGAAACGGGTAGCACAAGCCATGCCAGTGATGAGAGCGACGAGAGCCTCGAAGAGGGAAAACACAACCAAGGGAGTATTTAGATAAACAGGAATTTTTCAGACCATCTGGGTCTGATGAACTTCACCCAAAATAATCTCACAAATGATTGCTGTTATATTGTCCCACAGCTGAAATGCCGTGGGTGAGTGATGTGCTGAAAGACTGGAAAATACAAGCTTTATGCCCACTTTCAGAACAGGGAACGGGGGCCAGAGCCAGGAACTGATGGCAGTTAATCCCTTGCTTCCTCCCCTCCCAAGACATTGGAACAAATATCCTCTATTTGTAAGCAGTGAGGATGAGCAGGAGCTGTATGGACTTGTCAGGAACTGTCTCTGATCAAAGCAATCTCATTTCATTTCTGTGACAGGGTAAGAACCATGATGAAGACGAGCAGTGGCTGCAGTTTAACTGATTTTTAATAAGACTTCTGACATTGTCTCACGTGCTAAGCTTTTAAGCAAGCCTGAAAACCATGATGTAGATAGGGTGTAGGGTAAGTACAAAATGCTTGTATAGTTGTACCCRCAGGATTATCCATGGTTTGCTGTTGAAAAGGAAGGGGAACGTTGAGTGAAGTTCAGGGAAATCTGTTGCGGCTCTGGATTTGTTCAGCATTGCCATTAATGACCTGGACGATGGAGCAGAATGTACACTTGCTAAATCTGCAGATTGGGAAGTGTCCCATGATAAGATTACTGTCCTAGCAGGTCTCTAGAATAAGCAGGACTGTGTTGACCCCCTACTTGGGTGGCAGTGGGGACTTGTGGCAGAGAAGGCCCTGGAGAAGATCTGCAGGAGCACRGCTGTCTTTGTGCTCAACATGCCTAACATCCACGTCCTGGGCACCTAGGAAGGCAGCCAAGTGCAGCAGGCCTGGTGGTAGTGGCTCAGCTGTGTCAGGAAAGCAGGTGGCATTTGGGAATGTGGGAACATCTCCCAGGCTCTCTGTTGGAAACTCCTTCCCTTCATTAATTGCTGTTGTTCTTCTCTGGTGTCTGCAGACTTTAGTGTTTTCCCCAGGTTGTGTCAGTTATTTGGTGTCGTTGCACAAAACCGGTGTGTGCTTTGCTGTCCGGTTGGAGGATACATGGTGTGATGCCTTCTGCCTCAGCAGGAAGGGAGACAGACCCCACCATCTTCTCTGTACAAGCTGGGGATGGAGAAGCTTGAAACAACTAGCCAGTCTGTAGATCTGCTGGCTACATACGCCCCATGTGCCASTTGCCTGATGTAGGTACCAAGTGAGTTTGTGCAGCTCAGAGACCAGACTGGATTGGCCTAAAGGTAATCAAAAATGACTGTGTGGAAAAGCTCTGATAGAAAAACAGGTAGCTAAATGAGGTCTTGACTTCTCCCTGCTGGCTGCAACAGGAGATGGTGTGAGCTGTGTGCTGGAGTCAGCTTCTTGCTCCTTATGTGTGAGCCCATCTTTTGTGACCGAATCCTGCAGGACTCGGCAGCAGCCAGGCCGCCCATGCCAGCAGTGCGTCCCTGCTCACTTGCTCATGGGCTTCCCTTTCACACCACACATCCCGACCCAACCCCGTTGTCTCCGTGGGGATCCCACGAGCAGCACAGCGACACAGAAACTATTTGCTCAAGGGCAGTTACTACAGCGGTCTAAACGAGAAGGAAGATGCCGTGTTGGTATTGGTTTTGCCTGGGGAGAACGGCAGGGAGATGTTCCGTCCTTAGCCATGTAACCCACAGGAAGGCAAGGGGGATTTCCCTTTGATTCTTCCTCCTGACAAAGCTGTGGCTTTGCTGTGCTCCTTCCTGCCCCAAGCTGAGGGTGGAATGGGGTGTCAGGAAGGGCAGGCTCCATGTGGGAGGGAGAGGAGGAGAGGGGAGCTCCCTTGTGGCACCACCTGCCTGCAATTACTGGGGAGGGGAAAGGTGGATTCAGGTGTGAAGCAGGCTCTGCAGGGGAGGAAATTAGAGAGGGCCAGGGGTACTCCAGGCCCTTTCTGCTTCCCACAAGAGAAGAGCTTGAGTGGAAGAGAGAGCTGAGGCAAAAGGTCCAAGGTGTGTTTGGTGGGAGGGCTCCTCGAGGGAGGCTGCTGCACAGGACAGAGCCTACAGCAAAGCAAGCTCAGCAGCACTGAGGCACAGAGGTGAGGTCTGGACCTGGCTGCTGTTGCACCATGTGTGATTTATTGGAAGTTTATGCTTGATCTTGGAGCATGTTGCAGAGCAGAGTTGTATTCTCCTTGGCAGCAGCTGCAGCTTGGGGTAAACCGGCTCCCTTGTTTTGGATTAGCTCAGAACAAAGCATGGTTTTTCCTATGGTGGTGCTGGAGCAGCATCTGCATCTGTGTAGTGTGAGGAGGGTCTGACCTGCCCCAGGCTGTGGGGCTGAAAAGCAGCAGCCTCGGGCAGCCTCTCCAGGGTGCAGGCTGAGCCAGGAGAGGCTCGAGCTGCCCGCCCGGGGCTGTGGGAGCAGGTCCTCTCCCTGTGCTCCTGAGGACCCACGTGTTCTGCTCTGTGAGCGAGTGTGTCCCCAAGGTGCATCCCATAAACATCAGGCCCCTGCCTGGCTTGGGCTGCCTCGCTGCTGCTCGCGAGGGACACTCGGGACACTCGCTGTCCTGCAGGCTGCTGCTCTGGGACTGCCGATCCTTTACACACAGGCTCGTGCTCTCAATAACGAGGCAGGCTGAAGCCTTAAAGGGATTGTGCCAACTTTCATTTTATTTTCTTTTTTTTTTTTTGAAAGGGGATTTGGGAAAGGGTAAGGGGAGATGTGCAAGGGAGAGTTTATCATTGCAAGAAGGAGCTTTTCAGATGTACACAGGCAAAGGAATTCCTACCTGGCTGGAAATGACTGAAGCAGTAAAGCATTAGAGGCAGATCGCTGCCTTGGTGGGCATGCTTGTTCTATGGGGTTTTGGTTTTAAGGTCTACTTCATAGGTTATTCCATGTACAAAACAAAAAAGCATATTTTAATATATATGTCTATATATTTGTGTATATATAAAATATATACACACACATATTCTATTATCTTCACAACTCCCAGTCCCTAAAGGCTTCAAGTCTTAATGGCCGTGCATATATATGCATTATAAAGAAATATGCCAATCAACTGAGTCAGCACTTTCCTTACCGGCTGCAGGACTGGCTATGTGATAAATAAATGAGCAAGTGGTCTTTAACTAAAATCCAACAACCTCACACACATTCGGGGAGAGGAGGTCAACCCAGCGTTGAATAGCGGCACGCGTCGCCCTGTCCCTGGCTGTTTCCTCTACCTGCAGCGTCTGGCTGCTTGTGTTTCCCAGGCCGCCTTGTTTCTGGGGAAGGGAGTGGGAGCCCTCACACCTGGAGGGGTTGGAAGGTCAGACTGAATATGCTCAGGTTTGCTGCCCATAGGTCAGGCACCTCACACGTCAGGAGCTCCTATTTCCCTGCAGGGATTCCTATAGACTTCTGTGTTTTGTTGTGTTTTTTTTTCTTACCAAGAGGGAAGAGATTTGGTGGGCAAGAGGGGAAAGGRTTTGGGAGGGGAAAGACGGTCAAAATTCACCATACGATAGTTAGACAAATCTTGATAGAGGTCCAACTGCCTGCTTGCCGCTTTCTCACTCTTTCACGCTCTCTTTCATGCTTTCACTCTCTTTCTCTGCAGGACATAGGCTGTTGTAGGGCTAAAGGTCTCCTTTTGTCAGGCTAAGGTCAAGTCCCCGGGTGATGGAGGGCAGCCCTTCATACAGGCCTGTCCACGGCGTATTGGCAAGGGCTCAGGTTGGAAGCTGCCGTCTGCACCGCCGGGTAGGTGAAGTTAGCATGTTGCTTTGCCTTCARCCTCAGGCTGGCCAGGCTGGAGTTGCATGTGTCCCTGTACATGTAGGGGCTGGCTGTCGAGGCRTAAGGACAGGCACTGGATGAAACGGCGGAGTTGAGGCTTGGGCTGTTCAGGTTGTTGATGTTTCCCAGGTTGTTGAGGCTGGAGCCCGGTACTCCGGTCACTGCCGAAGGGACCATGGAAGAAGGCATGGTCATGGAAGCGATGGAGCTGGGCGGGGAGAACATGGGCTGCGARGAGAGAGGGCTGACATTCATGGAGTTGAAGAAGGGGAAGCTCTTGGCTGAGAGGGGGCTGGTGGCAAGCCCCTTGGTGGCCCAGTTGTTGTAGGAATAGCTAGAATACATGTCATCGTAAGGCTGCATCAGTCCGTTGAACTGGGCTCCAAAGCTGTTCTTGCACAGTTCGGCTTGCTGGTTCCTCTCCCGTTTCCTCCACTTAGCTCTGCGATTTTTAAACCAGACCTGCAAGCAAAAGATGGGGGTGGGGGGGAATCATTCTGGGTTATCACTTGGAGGAGGCTTTGCCTCGGTCCCTTGGCCCAGCAAGGCCGAGRGCAGTGTGGGCTCTGGAGCACTTCCCAGGGGGCTGGTCAGTAGGGAGAGGGAACTGCAGGAATGGCTGGTAGTGTCACACCTGGGCTGCAGGCATCTGCAGGGAGAATCATCACCTAGATCGAAACCCAAGCATTTCTACTTGCAATGCACAGAATAATCCTACAGTACTTGAGCCCATTTGATGGGTAATGCTCATGGTACTGTTGGCACTTGATCCTACCCTGCTGCATGGATGTGGATGCCCAACAGAGGGGCTGGTGCTATGGAAGGGGCACATTTGGCAGCCTCCTTCCAGAGCCCTTTTGGGTTTCTGCTGCAGCTCTGACTTGTGGCTGCTGTGGATATGGTGGGTTCATTTGGTATAAGCTGATGCAGGAGGCCAAGGAGTCTTATGTCTGAAGTCTGTTTCTSGGTTGCTACTGAAGGGCTGGAAATCAGTAAATGTGTCCTGGTGTAGGCCAMGGCAAATGGATCCGGCCTTTGAGATCTCCAATCTCCCCAGACCTGCCTTCCGACCTATCTCACTTAAATGCCTTTTACAGGAGGGAAAAGGGAAGAAATACTTGCTGTATTTCCAAGTGACCCCAGCCCAGGAGGAGGAGTTAGGGCTGTGTACCTTGCATACAAGGTGTGTAGGGGATGTGATCTGAGCTGCAAGAAATCAACTCTCTTGTTTTGACTTCGTCTTGGCTTAGCTGGAGAGAGATGTTAAAAGCCTGTCTTGTAGCAGGAAAAACTTTGTGTTAAAAGGACTTGAATAACACAACTTCCTGGCGCGTGGAAGCTGCTGGAAGGTTATTCACGGTGCCACTAGCTTGTGTTTCTAGCAGCAGAGAGAAGCTCCCGGTCCAGCTGGAGCTCTGCCACGTGAGGCCTGTGACTGCCCCGTAGTTCAGGGTACCCCRGAGAGCATCCACACTAACAAGGCTGGGGCCTGGGGGATGTGGGCACAGCAGGGCAGATTTGTCTCCTGGCCAATTCCCACTCCACAAGCTAGGAGCTTGTTAAAGGACAAGGCAGGTGAGAGGATGCAGCCCTACCCGGACTCGCGCCTCCGTCAGGTTGGTCCAGACCGCAATCTCCTCCCTGGTGCTCATGTCTGGGTAGCGGTTCCTCTGGAAAGTGGCTTCCAGCTCCTGGAGCTGCTGGCTGGTGAAGTGAGTCCTCTGCCTCCGCTGCTTCTTCTTAAGCGAGCCGTCCTCGGCGTTGGAGTCGTCTGTCTGGTTCTGCTGGGACTTCTCTGTGTCTGCACGGGGAACAAAAGACGGGAGAAATCCCTGGGGTTGGTGCTGGGGCTGGGATGCAGTGAGTGGGATCTGTCCACRGGGTAACCAGGGTGTGCTCTGTAAGGGCCCCTCCTGCTGCCATCCCCGGCAGTGCTGCTGGACCGGGAAGGCTCCTGTCCCCCTTCCCTTGCTGGTGATGCAAGCGGGTACCTGCCTCTCACCAAACATGCTCCCCTGGTACTGCCGCTTGCCTTGGCTTAACTTTTGTAACAGGTACAAAAAATGGACAAGCTGATTTTTTTTTTTCTTTTTCTTTTTTTTTTATTTTTTTATTCACTGCTGTCAAGATGCTCCCTAATGCTCCTAGTTCAGCTGATATCAACAGAATTTAAGCCATTGGGATGATTATTTTCTTTTGCTGTGGGTGTTTTGTGTTTTCCTTCACCATTGGTTTGACATTGGTAAGCTGGATTCTGTTACTAGGTGGAGTTTTTCGTCTGCACCAGGATGAGAGGGAAAGGTCACAGAAAGTAGCCAGTGTGAGTCACGTATGTGAAGTAGGAGCTTTACCCATCCKTGAAAAGCAGCCCAAGGCTTTGTGTGATCATGGCAGAACTTACCTAGGCAGTGTCATTTGGGAGGAGGAACTAAAGGGAAACCTAGATTTGCTCTGCTGAGATTCAGTTGCAAGTGGTTTGGGGCAGGAGGAAGCTCTTTCTCTGGAGCGAGGTAGCACAGCACTCCCTGCTCTTGCTGACAGCGGTGGCATGTGCCCTGCTTGTGGGGATGCCACCTGCCTCTCTGGATGGTGACACACAGGCTGAGAGCTTTTGTGTGCAGGTAACGCTGGCAAACAGCCACCTCCCAGGCCAGTTTTATTTCTAGACTAGTTAAGACGGTGGGGAGTGACGTCCCCAGGCAGCAAGCATTTATTGTCAACTTAAAATAGGCTGTGGAATATCTCTCGTGCACGTTCGCCCCCTCAATGAAACTACTGTAGTCATAGCTGGAATTAGCGGCTCGGGCTGCGTGGAAAAAAAAGTCAGCAGCTAAACTGGCAGTTCTGTGCAATGACATGGTGGGCTTGATAGGGAAGGCCACTTGAATTGAGATGAATGTTGTGCATCCAAAACAGCTGACTAGGAGCCACCAAGCTTGGGAATTTGCCCAACTAAGGTACACGTGCGGTGAGGAATTCAGCTGGTGAATTCTCTGCGCATGCTGCCCCAGGGTGACTCCCTGTAGGGCACTTATTCCAGGGAATTTTAATCTGCATCATTATGCTCATTAGCGTTTGCATGCGAGTGAGCCTGCAGGCTGTACGCGGGGAGCAGCAGGCTGYGCCCAGCCCCGGCACTAGCGGGTGCCTTGCAAGGGAGATCTCGTATCGCCCCGTAGGGTCCAGGGTGAGCGTGCAGGACAGGCACAGGATGGGGACAAATGCTAGAAAAACTTGTATCATTTGGTAGTGAATTTCTGAGCAGATGTGAATGCTGCTTCTTCAGAGCCTGACAATAAGGTTTGAGGGTTTTTAGTTTTATAGGAATGGTCAAAGGCACAGGAGCAACCTGTTGCCCATTGCAAAGCCTTGCCCTGAAGCACAAGTGACCAGACTTTTTAACTTAAAGCTGGGATAAAACAGTGTTTTCCCCACTAACCTTCTTGCTGACTGAAGCTGGATAGTTCAGCCAGAGGCAAGCTCAACATAAACAGTTAAAATAGAGATAAAAAAAAAAAAAAAGGGGGGGAGGGGTTGGGGGGCATTGTCCCTTGCTGCGGAGGGTAACTGTGCCCTCCGTGGGCTGAGGTGGGAAGCCTGGACCCAGCAGTTGTTGTGTGACCATGGGGGCTTTGCTAGGGCCCCACACGGGTGCTTCCTGCAGCCCCAGCCGGGCTGTGACACTTGCTGCTTGTTCTGCTCTTGAYCCTCTATGAGAGTGGAGCAAGGGGCTGGGCAGGTACAGCTCCTGCCTCCACATGTGCCGTGTTCTCTGCTCAGAGCTGGCCCGATGTGCTGAGCCGTGCTGGCCAAAGCTCGGCGTGATGCTGGAGGCTCCACGGCCAGGCCCACAAGYCACCGGCCATGCGGATCCACCTGCAAAACAGCCTGGGGTCCCTTGGACCTCTTGGAAGCAGCCTGCCCTTTTTGGGGGCAGGGAAAAAACTTCAATCTGGATTGAAAACCCAAACTTGGAGCAAGAAGCCTACTCTGCTTTGTGCCAAAAGGCCTTCTCTGTGTTGGCACCCAAGAACTTGAGTCTGTCTGAAAGAGTTTCCTAGCCCTGCAAGCTACCCGCCGTGTAACAGAGCATCCAGAGGCAGGATGCTCTGCGTCTCCGCAGCGCCCGGCACTCACCGCTCTGGTCCTGCCCCTTGCAGCCGTGCTCGTGCTGRGGCGTCCCGGCGTCGGAGAGGGACAGGGCCGGGCTGCGAGCCTCCGAGTCTGCCAGCAGGTTGAAATCCATGAGGCAGGAATGGGTGGTGGAGGAGGCGGAATCTGAAAAAAGCAGCCACAGGGTGGTTAGGGAGATGGATCTGTGYTGGTGACCTCTTCCCACCCTTTCTGGGAGGGACTTGCCAACCCTTGAGGAAAGGTCTAGGAAAAGCAAAGGTTCCCTGTGTGATCCTTGGACTCCTCTGAGTTTCCTGGCTGGAAAATGGACATGCCAGGCTTTCTGCTTAACCCCCCTATAAATCAAATATCATCTAGTGGCACTTCTATTTGCAGCCTTCAGAGAAAGAGCCTCCAATTTATAGGTGACATTCAGACCGAAATAGCAACACTGTGAGCATGCTGTGTAACAGAGATCTGAGGAAGTAGTTCTGGGCCAGCCAAGTGCTGTTAGCACCTTCCCCAGACATCCCGCTCTCCCCATCCTCCCCGCTGCACCTTCTCTCTCCTTTCTCCTTCACTTCTCAACAAGCTGGTCAAGTACAACTAATGATTCGCACACACRGGCAGCGCAGAGACCAAACACACACACCTGAAAGAAAAGCCRCCGCTGTGCAGGGCCCTAACAGGGAGCTGTAGACGGTGCCACAAGCACAGACATGGATCCATGCAAGCAAACACCATTCCCTCCAGGCACGGGGACCATCAGAGCCTGAATTAACACAGGAATCGCGTTACGCACCCTTGGGTGTCTGGGGACAAGTAGTCTTGGCTGAAACAGCAGCTCCTCACTGAGAGCRTCTGAGCTGGGGAGCTGCTGGTGTCGTTCCCTGCATCTGCAGGCACATGTGGGAGTCATCTACCACTGTTCTCCATGTTTCTTTATCTCGGGATAAATTATTCTTGCTGTGTTGTTGCTCGGGAGCACCTGTACCCTCTGTGTGTGACTATACTGTGTCGGCAGCTCAGCTGAGAGCTGCTCTGTTCAGAGCCGTGTTGGAAGCTGAGAGAGACAGGTGTGAGGGAGGAGGCGTTACGAGGGGTCTCCGTGTCCCCTTGGAGAGGTGAGGTGTCCCCTGAAGTCTCAGTGTCCGTCATAAGCCAGCCACATGCGTCATATTGTCATGGACACACAGGTTTCTGAAAGCTGGCCAGTTTGGGGAGCTCATTGGGCACAGTGGTTTCTCAGTCTCCTGTCACCCAAGCTAACATCACACCTTTCCCAGCTAGGGAACCTGTCACGACACCAGCTAGTAGCAACAGATGCAAGGGGTTGGGGGATCCAGTGCCTCCAGGCTCAGGGGCCCTTGGACCAGGTATTTGGAGTTTGCAAACTAAAGATCAAGGTCACTTGTGAAGCTTGAGCTCTCGTGTTTGAAAGATGCGTGGCGAATGTATGCACGTTGGGACTGAGCTTCTGAAGGAAGTATTTTGTCTGGATGTGCTGGTGTTAAACGTGTAAACAAGAGATTAATAACATAGCTGAAGCACCTCCTTTGGAGGCGGATGACGGTGACTAAGAATGTATTTTCAGAGCTGTCTGAAAAATCTCCTGTCAGCTCAAAGGGGACTGCTGCTGAGGCCCTTGGCAAAACTTGCCCTACACCTGCAAAGTGTTTTCAAGGACATGGCARGAGGGCAGGAACCCATTTCCAGTGGTTATCCTTCCCCAGCTTCTGCAGCAGGTCTTGGTCATCCATGAACCTCAAAAGTTTTCCTCTTTTCTCGTAGTCCTTCAGTTGTCCCCTCACCTGACCTCCCTCTCCTGCCCTTCCCCAGCAGGAAATCTGCCCTGACACTGCTCTGGGTCAGCCCTCCCTGAAACGCAGCGTCTAAAGAGCGGAGCTGGTGCTGCTTTCCCAGACCTCTGCCTCACTCCGGGCTTTTCATCTCCCACAGACAGGAGTGGCAGGGGCTCCGTATTTGCCATGGGGCTGGTTTCCATTTCCACCTCCTCGGGAGCCTGACCTTTGATGCCTGCAGGCTGCATAAGCTGCTGGCAGCAGAGGGGCACAGCCCTGTTGCTTTCTGCCGTGTGTATGTACACGAAGGGATGTGACAGGGGCTGTGTTTTCTTTAATACCTTTGCATGGGGCAGGGGGAGTCCATCTGCCGCTGATATTGCCACGGCTTTTAGCATTACTCTTGGAATTATGCAGAAACGCACAGTGAATTAATTCCATGGATTAAGTCTTGATTAAGATGTGTGTCACTTTGCTGTCTCAGAATTTATTAAGAGCCCTTCTTGAGGCGGCAGCAGATGGAATTTCTGCCCAATGTTTGTAGATGATAATTTACCCTCTTCTACAGCCATTTGCATATGATTGCATCTGTCAAGCACAATTTCCTCCCTTCTAGGGCTTGACTCTGTACTGGACCAGATTTAAGGAGGAATTCGGACTCCTGCCTTGCTGTAACTGAAGGACAGTGTCCTCCTGTGCAGGGTCCTGTTTGCTCTGAGGCTCTTCTGTACATCTTGCATCATTTTTTACCTGTGCAAACTGAAGTAGAGATATGAAAACTAGAATGGGAGTATTTTAGAACTAGTTTTATAGGGAAAAAGAAATGACAAATTAAGACACATGACTTGGGAGAATCTGGTATTGATAAATACAATTCATGTCCCATCCTGAACAGCAGAGGTTACCAGGCGCATCCGTGTCAGTAGGCACAACACAGTGTGTTTAGCCTGGCTTGGAGATGCAATGGGGACTGAGATTAAAAACTGCTTTTAAAATATGGCCTATATTCAAGTTGAAACTAGGACCTATGATTTAGAAGAAATTTACTTTTTGAGCTGAATTTAAAACTATAAGGATTTCAGAGATGATATTATATACATATATATATGTAACTATATGCCTATTACTATTGTTATAGTGGTATCCAGAAGGGGCTTTTTAGGTCACTAAGTAGATCACAGGTGAGTAGAACAAAAGGGAGAAGGAGATCCACTCAGCACCATTAGTAAGGTCTGCAGGATGTGTCTGCAAGAAGCTTTGCCCCAGTATATTTGCCCAGACACCCCCATGCCACTGACACAAAAGGTTGTAGGTATCATTCTAGATTATGCATCATTTTGGGGTTTAGTTACAGGAGCTCTCTTTCATATTGGATAGATCTTACTGTAGGCAGAGATGTTAAGAAAGTCAACACTTTAAATCTTCACAGCATTTCTACCAAGTTGCTTGTCTCTTCTAGGACAGTTATTGAAATTGGCACCGCCAAAATGTCTCTAGATTACATCAGATTTACCATGTCCTTTTAAGTCATGCTGACTTTCTTTTAATGTAAAATAAGTATGGGTTCTGTACTAGTAACATGGTGCCAGGCTTGCTCAGAATTTCTGATGTAAAAAGTAAAGTGGGAAGGAGGGGAAAAAAAAAAAAAGACAACAAGCAGGAGTCCCTGTGACCTTTCTCTTGATTCTCAGTAACACTCTGCTCCATTACCTAGGAGCAAAAWTTCCTTTGCTTTTTCTTTTGGAGGGGTGGGAGGGAAGCAGGAAGGCTGAATGCAAGCCAAGAATAACCATAGTGGTGGCTTTTGTAATGTAGATATTCTCCGTGGACCCTGGCCAGTGTGTGGCTGCACGCGGGTTGTGGTCACACCTGCAGCTCCCCTTCTGCAGCTCTAGCTGCAGGCAAGAGGCTGYCCGCTTAGCTGCTTGATGCTCCCTGGATTCCCATGGGCATCCCAGGGCAGCTTCAGCAGGGACCTGCTGTCTGGAATCCCATGGCAGGGGTGGCACCATGGGTGACACAGGAAAGTCCACCCCGTGGGCTTCTTGTGGCAAGCAGCACGTGGTGCAGGGCTGGGAGCCTCATCAGCTCCTCTGAGCAGTGTGGTGGTCTCTGCAGGCTTCSTTTTGTGGAAGCCGCTCACTGTCAGTGGTCCGGGCTTATCCTTCAAGTTGCAAAGTGCTCGGTCAGTTTAGGAGGGGTTTCTTTGCCCCTGGGTGAAGGTATGGTGTTACAGTAGGTTTCTTAGGATCACAGCCATCTCTTCCTACTCCACCAATCCACAAATCGGACTCCTGTGAGTAACTAGTTTCTTGATGGAGTTTARCCAGTTGTTTTCCTGCTGTTTTAGAAGCCTCTGCACTCTCGTGCTCACTGCCCTCCTGTGGGCTGGCTGCTTTTAGCGGAGATAAACATCGGGGAGTTCAGTTAGTGGCATGTTTTCAGGAAGATGATCTGTCTGCTGTACTTTGGCCTCCGGGAGGGACTGAGCTGAGGCGCAGCAGCCCCCACCTTCCCTCTGCCCCACACTGAAGGGGGTCTGCGGCCTGGGCCGAGACAGCGCCAGGCTCCTCCTGGATGAGTGCTTAGTGCTCCCGATCCCTGCATGCATAAATCCATGGGGATGATGTRTTTGAGGGCTGGGGGTTTGGAGCGCCACGGACACAGGGATCCCCTAATGCAAGAGCCGGGCTTTCCTCGCTGCCTGCTCGGAGTGCTCTACCCGCAGCTAGAGAGCGAAAGGGTGGGACACAAGACCCRACTTAATCTTCATTTCCTCAAGACTACAAAAATAAGTCCGGGGGGAGAGCAGGGTCACCTACTGCAAAACCTCTCGGTGCAACTGCAAGTCTCTAATCTTAATGGAATTGCAACAGGAACCAAGAGCGACCATTAATCACTGGAAGATAAACAGCGGCAGCAAACCAGTTACCCAGCGCGCAGATCCATTACGGGACACGCGAGCGATCCGCCTGCCTCCCAAGCCTGGGGCTGCCGGAGCCGCGCTCATCAGCGCCTCGGCGGCCTCCAGCGAGGGCTGAGTCACAGCTTATAATAACCTCGAGGTCTCGATTTAGTCCTCGCAGCTCAGCGCTGACCCCTGAGCTCTGGCACTGGGTGTTCTTGCGGCACGGGCGCYGCTTTGAAGCCGGGAGCTTTTCTTGCGCTGTGGGCAGGGATCACCCGGGCTCCCTGAGGGCGCTCGCTGCTGTAGCACGGCCACAGCAAGAGCAGGTTGGGTGGTTTGGCAGTTTCCAGCTGCCGAACCTTGCCGAGCGCGTTGGCCAGTGCCGTGGGCAGCTCGGTGCCACACTAAGTGTGGTGACCCAGGCGCTGGCTGCAATATGTCTTGTCCAGGAGCCA